GCACCTCCTTCATCCCCGCCCGACCACTGCACACGACATCACCCCCCTCCCCCACTTCCACAAAACCTGGCAGTTGAGGATGGCCCAGAGACACCAGTTGGCCATGCGCTCTGCCATCTTGGTGTCCACGATCCTGAAGAGCTGCACGTGATCGGGGAGGCTGTCGGCCTCCTGGGCGATGTACTCCACGCCGTGACCCAGCCCACTGACCGCCTCCAGGTTGGGGCACTGAAAGGAAGCAGGACATGAGGGTGGCGAGTCTCAGGGCACTATTATACACTATACATGCTCAGTATATGGTGTTTTGGTCGTATTGGCATGTCTCGTGCTGGAAGTGGCCCTGGTGGCGAGCTGCATACCTGTCATCAGCCCAACCACCCCTGCAAACCCTACACCGCCAACCATGCCTGCGCGAGGATGCCCTCGGGTTGGTTCAGCACCACAGCATATCGAACCGCAGCAAGATCGGAGATCTCATCTGGGTACACTTGGAGCTCGACGCCCTCTGCTCGGATCTGGGTGGCCCACTCCGCAGCATTGCGGGAGGCTGCTCGGTACCAGGGGAGGGGGGAGGAGGGGTTCCTGCACGCTCAGGCACAGCCAATCCGGTCTGGATTCAGGGTTCAAGGGCATGCATGGCCCAAGCTCCAACCCACTGGTTGCTAGCAGGATCTCGGGGGCCATGGCTGGGGATTGGGGGGAAGAGGACGGGGAGCTCTGGCGACGTACCGGAGCCGGGGAGCTCCCGACCCCAGACAGATTGCCGTGCAATGATGGGCGATGAGAAACGGCCGATGAGTCTATGGGTTTGGCAAGTATTCCTCGCATGCTGCACTTTGCATGAGGCCACTGAGGGTTTCTGAGCCCATAAGCATGCCACAGCAAACTTTCTACCCGGAACAGACCAGTATGATCTGGGCGAAAACAATGAGGCGTTCTGCAGCGAGGAGGTTCATCACAGGGCAGTGATCAAACAAATACATTGCAGGCTTTGGAATGTACCGTTGCAATATCCAAGCTTCGAGGTGAAGGAGCAGGCTTCAGCCACGGTTTATTGGTGAATGACATGGGTGTACAGAGGCTTCTCAGATTCTAGACCAATAAACTCCACCGTCATTCTCTTGCTGCCCACCTCCACAGCTATGAATCCTGGCATGATGCAGCGAGAACAAAGGAGAAGGAGGATGTTACTTAAAAGCGTTTGTGCAGCCCCTTGGGATCGGCACGGGGTCTTGCAGAGGTGTCGACAATGCAGGCCCGATTCCTCCACCCACATGCCCTCACCGTTCAACGACCTTTGGAAGGGGGCATCCCCATCCCTCAAGAAGCCCTGACTCAGTTTACTGCCAGCCCCGGAGCAGTACTGGTGGTAGCTTGAGTTTGCGGGAACGATGTGGTAGAGGCTGTGGTCGTGCCCGTGAATGTATGCCTGCCATTGAGACAAGGGTTGGTGATGGTGGGTATACAGACCACGGGGTAGAACCAGGGACTTTATACCAAAGGCGCGCGAGGAGCTCGTGTCAGCCAACTCAATTTCCCTAGATGGGGCTGCGCATCGTGTGATCAATGATGGTCAGCCAGCCAGCCTCCCCCCGTCCCGAGTGAGCCCGCAACCATCCGTTTATCGCACCTGGACTCCATACTTTTCCAGCAGGGGCTCAATGATCCGTTTGGTGTCCTTGTAGTATCCCTGCGGCTGAGCCTGCTTTTGTGACGGAGCGCAAAAGACGTTGTAGTCCTGCCACCACACGCGCATGCCAAACTGTGCAAGCTGCATACAACCTGTGCGCCCACCACGCACAGTGTCTCACCACATCTCTTTGATTGGAGTAGATGGGGTGATGCCCGATCACAATCTTCCAGCGTGCAGAGGATCGGAACAGGGCTGCCTCGAGTTCCACAAGCTGGGCTTCCAGGGATTGATCCAGGATGCCCCCTGTTGCAAGCAGGGACCGAGGGGTGAGAAGAGTTGCTGCGGCGGCTCCCATCTCACCCATCTGCCCCAAGGTGCGTGGGAAGGCACCTGTCTGACGCCCTCCATGATGATTATGCTTCCCATGTACTTCATTTTGCAAGCTGGCGGGAGAGGAATTGCCGGCAGCAGCAACCCTTCCCATGTCCTGCCATCCCAGGGAGCACCCGCACCACCCGTCTTACCCTTGTGTCCAGCCCATGGCGTGTCCCGGTAGTAGCTCATCATGGGGTTTGTGTCGATGAAGAAGAGCTCCAATGCGCCTGGGGCCAGGGGGAGCTGGAAAGCGCGCTCACACCGCCATCGCCAGTCCCTGGCGACCAGCCGCTGGCTCAGCTGTGAGAGGAAGCAGTGAATGGCTTGAGCTCAACGAGATTCGCACCGAGTGCTGGAAATGCATAGGGCTGACGGCCGAGACCAGGCAGCATGCATTGCAAAAGAGACGCCTGGGATGCCACTGAGACCCCCAGACGTCCTTCATTCCTACATATACAACCATCAAGGGATCTGGAGTTTGTTAATCCATGGCCTGGAGAGTATTTTGCATGAACCAAACCCCATCGGCCACCAAACCTGATGCAGGGGCGAGTAGTAGCATGATTCGCTGTCCAGGCTGGAGCACACCGGCGGCTGGTCGTCCGGCTTGGCGTCGTCCTTCAGCTCTCCATAGTCGTGGTTCCCCAGCACCGCATACCAGGGTAGCTGGAGGCCAGGCTGGGAGTAAATGTCAATGAAGGAGGTATTGAACTGCGGGTCCTCTGGCCAGACTAAACCGCTCTGGTAAAAGCTGCGGGAGGCAGTGGAAGGAAGGGATTGTCAATGAGGGCGTCCCTGCCCCCAGGATGGAAGCAAAGGGTTGTGGGTGCGAGTCGTAGAGAGCTGCATCCTTGGACGAGAATGCCGCCCTGCACACACTTGTCGCCAGTGGAGACGATGAAGTCTGGCTGAAAAGTAGCTGCCTTGAGAGCCATGGCTGATGCCACCAGGGACTGGTTGTGTTTGCCATCCCGGCCCCAGTCCCCAACCTGGGAGAAAGGTGTGAGGGTGGGGGATGTTTTGGGATGTGGATCTGGCGCTATATCGCACTCCACCTGCCAAACGACACCATTTACACTGAGCCTGCCACGCACCGCGAGGAATCTAGTGTGAATGGGAGAGTCACCTCGAGCCGCATTCTTTAGGTGATCGTTATTGATGAAGAGAGCCACCTCCCACACCAGGAAGACCAAGACCACGAGAATGGCTATGAGCACACCTGAGATGCACAAGTGAGTGTTCGGTGTGGATCTAGCAGCGTCCATTCCCCTAACTCCAAACCAGCCACGGAGTGCACCCACGCCAGATGCAGCTGGACATCTTGCGCCTCACCGGTTCGAGTTCTGCAGGACACCGCTCGAGGTCGCGCTAGGGGCGCAGTGGGTGTGCTAGGGAGCTCCGGGGTATCCAGCTCATGGTTGGATGGGTATGCATATGCACCCTTTTGCTCAATACTGAGGGTTTCGTACCTCGAAGGCTCGGGCATGACACTTAAGAAAGGGTCCACAGACCGAGCGGCCCACGGGGGCTAGGGGACGCTTGGCGATCACGATCCCTCGACGCAGATATGTACACTGCTTAATTTCTAGCGACACGTCAGGTCGCTTCTCGATGTATGCTCGATCGTGGGGTGACTTTGACGGAATATGCTCATGTCATTGGTGTGGGTGGCTCCGGCGAGATCTCGCGCCCAGAATTTAACCGAAGGTGCGGCACTGGGAGGTGTAGAAGGAAGCACCGGGTCGGTCCATGCAGCTTTGTTACCCTCCAACCGTCAGTGCAGCGTGCGCTGCGTTGATTGCCGCCTCGGGTCAGTGTCCCTCGTCGATGGCATCAAAGGTTTAACTGCATGTTGCGCAGGCTGCGACTCCGCTCTCCGCCCTGCGCACGAACGCCATCGCTGCCTGCATGATGAAGAGTCAATACCTGGAGCTGTTCATTAATGCAGTCACTATCGTCATCGTCCTGCACAGTCTCTTCCAGCATCCGCACGCTGGTACGAATCGAAAGGCTGTCGTGCACCTGTCGGTGCGTCGCCGCCCCATGCACGCAGACAGCCCATTACCTTCATGCGCAGGGCTCTGGACCGCCCTCTTAGCCTGTATATCTGTGCTGGCATTGGTGCTGGAAGCAAGCAGCTGGAGGAGCATAGGCACGCTGTGTGGTTTTGTTCCTGGGATGTGGGAGTCATGCCCATGGCACTCAGAGTCCATGCATGCCTCGCCAAGCACTCTGCCGAGTATGTCACCCTCCCTCGCCCAAATCACCTCCCTGATGCAGCGATAATATATCAGGGCAGGGACGCGACGGGACCCGGGCTGGCCCTGGGTCTCCTTGCAGTGCCCCTGCTCACAGCGGCCACCGCCGCCTCGCGCCCTGGAGAAGGCCTCGTCACGCACGGCGCTTTCCAGGCCGCCCTGGCTCTGGCTTCCGGACAGCTCCTGCTGATTGCCACTCAGGTTGCCTTGGACCAGAGGCTCAGCGCCTGGGACTCCTGGTGAGGCAGCTGGGGTCCTGGAGTTATTGGAGGGTTGGCGGGTGTGGCGAGGAAGAGTCATGGATGGGAGAAGAGGAGGAGGAGCACGGCTCGGAGGTTCCTGCCTTGGCCTGCATTGGAGTCTGGTGGCACCAGCCTGTATTGGCAATGGCAGCCTCTGCTATGGCCCTTTTGTTTATGTCTTTCTCACCTCCCACCACCCAACCTACATGCGTGTGCTCACTACTTCCCCTTTCCTCAACACAGGCACGCGCGGGATGAGGCAGACGGCGAGGAGCTGGGCACCCCCAGCAAGGCACGGGCGCACTGCAGCCTGCTGGCGCAGGGCACCGTGGCCGCCGCCCCGCCCCCGGAGCCCTGGAGGGCGCAGGGCTCGGCGGCCGCCGTGCTGGGGAGCCTGGGTGTGCTGGGCACGCTGCTGGTCATCGCCGTGCTTTCCGGCGACCCCGCCGTGCTGCCCTGGGCCTACGCGGCCCTGGGCGCGGGGACCCTGCACGCCACGCTGGCGCTGCTCCTCCCACGCACGCTCACGCTGGGCGAGGGCGCGCTCATCACCCAGGTCCGGCTGCTGAAGGGGCGGGCAGGGCGAGGGCCCAGGATTTGAGGAGGGGGAAAGGTGGTGCGGGTGGCACTGGCCGCCCGTGGCCGACTGCACCCCCCCCCCACTGCTTGATTCACACCCTCCACCTCCCAACCCTCCCCTGAACCGACCAGGGCCTCGTCCTCGCTGTCACGGCGGCCTCCACTGCCACCCCGCCCCTCCTCCGCCTCGTCACCCGCCTGCCCGTGGCGGCAGTCGCAGCTGGGTGCGCCCTCATCCCCCTGCTCAAGACGGCAAGGTGACTGGGTCGGCTTGGCTGCCAGAAGGTTTTGGGAGCTGCGCCCGCGTCCGTCGCCGGAATGTTTCGGGATGTGCAAATAGTGGCAGCATTATGTGCGAACTGGTGTGCAAAGACTGCCCCTTGAAATGTCACAAAAGCCTACGGAATGCTTCCCGACTTGCCCCCTCTTGAACGAATGCAGGGCGAGAGACGGGCCCGTCCCAACCAAACAAAGGGTGCCCTGGCAACGGGTGTGCCTGGGCTGCTCATGCCTGCTGACCGCCGGCCTCGCCCTGGCGGCCATCCATCCAGCGCTCTGGGCGCTGCAGTATGGCCTGGCGACGCCGCGGCGCCGCGCAGTCCTGCTCGCCTGGTTCGTGCTGCTTGGAGGAGGGCTGCCGGCCATGCGGTGGTTGTCCTCCCGCAAGACTGTGCCGCAGATCCTGGGTGTGTGAAGGGGGGGAAAGCTGGTGAGATAGGGTATCGAGGCACTGGCCATCATGGAGAGAGGCCCAGTCCCATCTTAAGGGCTGCCTGATGAGGTTCTGCTGCCGCGCGTGCTGCATCACAGTGCCTTGCCCAGCGCTGCTGCAGAGAAGCCATGGCAGCTGCCACGAGGCTGCACCTTCCCACCCCGACCCACCCTCCCATCTGGACACCCACCCCCTCACCCCCCTCACCCACACCCTTGGTTCAGTGCGCAAGGGGTACCATCTTCTCGCAGTGACGCTCTTTCTTCCCGTCCTGCTCGTGGAGCCTGGGCTCCTGGGTCTGGCCCTGGCAATCGCCTTCGCCGGGCTGGTGGCCGTGGAGGCGGTGCGTTCGGCGGCCCTCCCAGGCGTCAGCCTGCGCATCACGGACTTCATGGAGCGCTTCACCGACGCACGCGATGCCGGCCCCATCTACGTCACCCACTTTGCGCTGCTCCTGGGCATGGCGCTCCCCGTCTGGCTCAGCCTGGACTGGGAGGCGGGGGAGCGGCAGGGCCCGCCGGGACTGCTGGAGGGGGGCGCAGTTCGTGCCCGGGCCCCGGCCCTGGCTGGCATCCTCATCCTCGGTGCGTTTGGTTTGTGACAGAGGGAGCCGCACGGAGGCGGTGCAGGCCCTACCGTGCTTGCCTCGACGCCTGCGACTTTGCCAGGGGCTCCTCTGCGAGCCCCTCTCCCAACATCCACCTGCCTACACACTCTCGCCAGGCTTCGGAGATTCGGCGGCCTCGCTGGTGGGGCGGCTTTGGGGCGATCACGCCCTGGCGGCCGACAACCCGAAGACGTGGGAGGGTCTGGCGGCGGGGTCGGCGGCCACGCTGGCAGGCTGGGTCGGCGTGGCCCTGCTCTCCTCGGCGCTGCCCGGGGTCGCGCTGCTCTCGCCCCAGCCGACGCAGGGCGGCCTGCTGGCGGCCACCTCGCTGTCCTGCTTCCTGGAGGCAGTCACCGGGCAGCTGGACAATGCGGTGCTGCCCCTGCACTACTACACGCTGCTCCTGTGCCTGGCATAGCCACCTGGGCTGGTTTGTGGTGTCTTTCACGTCCATACAGAACCCCGATGCACTGCTCTTACTTGCCGGCTTGGCTCCTGGCTCGGCGTTTTACACACTTGATTGCCGTCATAGGAGGGGGTTGCTGGAGGACAGCCTTTCGTTGCGGCGAACGAGGGGGTTGGTGTCGCCGGTGGGGCCGCCGTCGGTGGCTGAGAGCGCCCGATGGATGTACCTCTGGATGGCCTGCCGGTGCGCCGCATCAGCCTCGGCCCGCATCACCTGACCAGGAGAAGTGAGAGAGGGGGCGGGTGTGGAGGGAGGCCCGTAGCTCTCTGCAAGCGCCATCCTCGGAGCTTCCAGCACCGCCGAGCGACGCAACCCCTGGACCCACGCACCTGCTTGACGCGTTTGACCCTGGTATCCCGGTCCTCGCCGGCAAGGGGGTCGCCAGGCAGGGGTCGGGTAGCCTGCGGCCCCGCCTTCCTCCCGCCTCCCCCGCCCTCCCCCGCTCCACCGTACACGTCGCCGACCATGGGTTTGGGGGGCACTGCATCGCGATGCACCACGCTGTACCCTACACCCAGCGTGCCTGGCTGGACAATGGGCTGCAGGGGAGTGGCCCTGCCCCGGCCCCCTAACCCCAGCCCCTGCCCCTCCTTCCAGCCAGCGGCCTTGAGCAGCCTGTGCCCGATGTTCGAGCAGGGAATGGCAGCCCCGGCTGCGAGCGCGCGGGGCTGCGGGTTGTGAGGGGTGAAGGCGCCAGAGTCGATGGACGGGGAGGTGAAGACATCTGTCAGCACGCCGCCTGGGCGAAACACGCCCCGCTTTGCTGTAGGCTTTGGCGCATCTCCAGGATGGAGTACGCCGGTTGGCTGCACAGGGAGAGGATCGTGGCTTTTGGTTGCCGGGGCCGCGCTCGAGGCAGGAGGTTCCCCGGCGACGACGCTGCTGTAGAAGGTGGACACCTGGCGCCCACGCTCTAAGGGATGGGCTGCCTCCTGGCCCTGATCATCAAGTAGGACGGGGGGCCTCGGCATCAGAGGAGTATTTTCAGGCATGGGATTTGCATCAGACCTCCAACGCATTCAAGTGCAACTCACATCTGGACTGGACGTCATGGGGCCATGGTGGCCGAGGTCAGGAGGCGGAGGGACACCATGTGTACGCAACTGCTGCTTCGATCTCGCACCATTCTTGGCTAGGTATACGGCAAGACCAGGGAGCAACAGGATGGTTTTCAATGGAAGCCTTGGATTCCCTGTTCGAGGGTGGAGGTTACCGTGAGGAGAAGTGACGACCTTTCGGAAACTTGAGCGCCATGCTGCGACTGCTGCGTGCAAGGTTCCTAGATGGCTTGGCATCGAGCGTGCTGACAGGGAGTAGGAATGCTCTGCATGCCAGTGGAGAGTCACGCCCACTATAGAGCGGGTGGTGCCTTGTGTGGGAATAAACGCAGAGAGAGGTGGGTCGTCGTGCCAGCAAAGCTTGGCCCCATCGCCGGCACCCCTTGGTCTCCTAGAACCTCGCCTTTAAGTGAGGTCGACGACATCTGTCGTGCTCGCCATGGCGTCAGGTACGTCTTTGGAGAGTTCTCAGATCACCTCTGTGCATGCCGGTGCAGCCTTACCCGCACACGATCCCTGGAGCCTTCACTCACCTCCCACACACTTCCCGTCTTCACTCTACAGAGACGGCCCTGAAGGCGCCCATCCCTGGCCAGCGCAACATACTCATCACCAGCGCCCTGCCCTACGTCAACAATGTGCCCCATCTGGGTAACATCATTGGCTCAGTGCTGAGGTATGTGGGAGTCTGCGGGTATCGCCACGAACGGTCACTTAGGACACCCTCCCTCGCATGCATCCCAAGCTAATCCATGTTACCCATTCCTCACCCAGTGCGGATGTGTACGCTCGCTTTACTCGTGCACGTGGCTACAACACGCTCTTCGTGTGCGGCACAGACGAGTATGGGACCGCCACCGAGACCAAGGTGGATATTTTGGATTGGCAGGATCTTTGTGGATCCCGGATTTTCATGTGAAGCCATGGCCGTGCCGGCACGCACTACTCTACCACAGCAGGGGAATCGCTGCGCGGTGTACAGATGTACTGAGATTCATCCAACCCCGCTCACCCAAAGGCGCTGGAGGAGGGCCTGACCTGCCAGGAGATCTGCGACAAGTACAATGCCATCCACACCGACATCTACCGCTGGTTTGACATCTCCTTCGACAAGTTTGGGCGCACCCCGACCGCGGCGCAGACCGCCATCGCCCAGCGCATCTTCCTGGACCTGCAGGCGCGGGGGCTGCTGCACGAGCGAACCACCGAGCAGCTGTACAGCGAGGCGCTCGGCAAGTTCCTGGCGGATCGCTACGTCATCGGCACCTGCCCCAAGTGTGGCTACGAGGTGCGTGCAGAGTGGGGAATAGGCTGGGGGAGGGGGGGCACTTGGGGTGCGGGAGCCCCGCTGCTGCCGGATTGAATGTGTTGTGGAGGGGTTTTATTGGGGCTGAGTAAGGGGTGGGTCTCTGAGCAGCCGTGTGTGGTGCGGTCACCTCGCCAGTGGTGCTGGGCCAGGGGCTCAATCAGTGTAAAGCCATGGCCGCCTAGCAGCTGAGGCGATCCTTGCATGTTGTGCGCAGCAATTGGTATTATGTGTCCAGCACCCCACCCCACCCCACACACACACTCTCATGATCCAGGATGCCCGCGGCGACCAGTGCGACAAGTGCGGCGCGCTGCTGAACCCCACAGAGCTTCTGAACCCGCGCTGCGCCATCACCAAAACTGTGCCGGTGCTTCGGGAGACCAGGCACATCTTCCTGGACCTACCTCGGCTCAGCGAGCAGGTGCAGGCCTACATCGACGCCACCAGTGAGGTGGGGGGCTGGTCCTCCAATTGCGTCCAGGTGAGGGGAGGTGTTGGGAGTGGGGGTGAGCTTTAGAGAGGCTGAGCAGAGTAGATGGGGCCTCGGCAGTGTCAGGGTGCGATGTAGGACTGCCGGCGTGCCAGTGTGATGAGCTAGCCTACCCGAGTGTCTCTGCATATCGTCAGGGGTGTGTGCCAACTTCATCTCCTTCCCACCCTGTTTTGCCAACACCCCAACCCCCTGCCAGGTGACCAAGGCCTGGATGAAGCAGGGCCTGAAGGACAGGAGCATCACCCGGGATCTGAAGTGGGGAACCCCTGTCCCTCTGGAGGGCTTTGAGAACAAGGCAAGTCGGCGCCCTCGGGGAGTTTGTGCGTCGGGTCCTGGGGCACTGGTTCCCTGGGCGAACCTTGAGGGCGCATGGTAGTATACAAATCATCCCAAGGAAAACTCTCCCACCACTTACCCCCACCGCCAGGTGTTTTATGTGTGGTTTGATGCACCCATCGGCTACATTTCCATCACTGCAAACTACACAGACGACTGGGAGGCCTGGTGGAAGAATCCGGAGGTGGGTTCTTGTGGTAACATTGATTTCTGTGGAAGTCTGTGCAGTGTTTGAGTCTCTGCTTAAACAGGCAGTGGGTGTCAGGGCTTCGCTCGGAGGTCCTGTGCCCCTGATACCCTCAAAGTCAACTTGCCGCTCCTCTTCCCCCCAAACCCCCCTAGGAAGTTGAGCTGGTGCAGTTTATGGGCAAGGACAATGTGCCCTTCCACACTGTCATCTTCCCCGCCACGCTCCTTGGCACCGGGGACAAGTGGACCATGATGCGTACCATCTCGGTCACCGAGTACTTGAATTACGAGGACGGGAAGTTCTCCAAGAGCCGCGGTGTGGGTGAGTTCTACTGTGGGAAGGCTTTGTGCCCGCAGCCAAGAGGGCTGCTCTGCAGCGCCGCGCCGGTATCTTCGAATCCATCTCACGCCTCGTATGCATTTCTGTGCACGGTGGAGTGTGGCATGGTCCTGGGAATGACTCTTGTCCTTCAGCTGTGTAGAGATGCAATACCTATTCCATGCTGGCGTTCCACTTGGGAAGTTACGCCACATACTATGCCTGTTGTTTCACACTCTTCAATACCTCCTTGCAGGCGTATTTGGGAACGACGCCAAGAACACCGGGATTCCATCTGAGGTCTGGCGCTACTACCTGCTTGCCCTCCGTCCAGAGACATCTGACGCAGGTGAGGGACTTGGCGGTGTCCAAGGTCGTGGAGCATTGAGAGACCAATCTCATGCGGCTTTTTGCAAGCCATGGGGCATTCCTGTGATGTGTGATCTCAGCAGACTCCCCTGCCCCCGAATGGAGCGTCTCTCCCTGCTTCTCTCTTCAAGCATCCCCACTCCCGCACCCTCTTAACTACAGTCTTCCAGTGGGATGATTTTGTGGCCAAGAACAATGCTGAACTGAATGACAATCTGGGTAACTTCATCAATCGCACCCTGAAGTTTATCACTGCCAGGTATGGGCTTGATGGTGGGAGACATTGTCGCGAGATTTGAGCATGTCAAGGCAAACTTTGTAGCTCTTGTATGGTGTTCCTAAGGCCAGTGCCACCCAACCTCTCGTCTACTTCACAACCCCTCACCCTTTGCTAGATTTGAGGCCAAGGTGCCCGGGGTCAAGCAGGGCAGTGTCTATGAGGCCATCGACCAGCTGGGCCAGCGTGTTGCCGGCCTCGTCGAGCAGTACCTCCAGAGTGAGTATGTGTGGCTTGTTAGGTGGTGTTCACTGGTTAGGTTGTCCACATCAACACGGCCTGTGCCCCCTGAAGATTGGGCGAGGCTCCCTGCGCTGCTTCTCTGGGGTCTATGCCTGTGCTGGCCTCGACACAAACCCAGCCAACCCAGCCTTCCTCTCTATGTACGTCAAGGCATGGAGGCGCAGCGCATGAAGGACTCCCTGAAGAGTGCCATGCTCGTCTCCAAGGCCGGCAACGCGTTCTTCCAGGTTGGGCCTCGGGATGGGATGAGCTGCATGCCGGATCATGCCTGTTTCGCCCTGCTACTTTCTGGATCCTGCGGCCGGCAGCCTCCGGGGTTTAAAAAACCCACTGCCCGCCTTGCTCCGCGCCCTCGCGCCTGCAGGAGACTGAGATCTGGGTGGCCTACAAGTCCGACCGGGATGCGGCGGCGGCTTACATCTCCGCCTGTGGCGGCCTGGTCCTGCTGCTGGCCTCCCTGCTGGAGCCATTCATGCCGGCCTTCACCGCCGCCGCGCTTTCCCAGCTGGGGGTCGACAAGGTGGGCGAGGGGAGTTGTGATGGGAGGAGGGATGCTGACGGCCTGCATGGCCGTGACCATGACCAGAGAGTTCCCAGATGTCAAGTGTGTCCTTCTTTTCCTATGTACCTCCACATGCACAGGTGCTGCCGTTGGACAACGGGATCGTGGCGAGCAGCCGCAGCCCAGCCACCATCCTGCCAGCCGGACACGCCCTGGGCTCGGAGGCGGTGCCCCTGTTCCGCAAGATCACCGAGGAGGAGGCGGCGGGCCTGAGGGTCAGGTGGGCTGAAGCAGAGCAGGGTGCACAGGGTATCTTTCATATCAGGGGGTCTAGAGTGTGCCCAGGCAGGCCGAGCTCGTCCCGCTGCCTGCCTGCCTACCCACCCCAACCCCCATCGCCCACCATCTTCCTCCTACAGGTTTGCCGGGAACCAGGCGGAGCGGGAGGCCTCTGACGCCGCCGAGGCCGCGGCAAAGCTCACACTCGGCGAGGAGAAGGCCCCCGCCGAGGCCCCCGGCAAGAAGGTCAAAAACAAAAAGGCAGCGCCCGCCGACCCCGCCACCAATCGGCCGGTGGACGTGTCGCGCGTGGATCTGCGGGTGGGGCTCATCAAGAAAGCGTGGAAGCACCCGGGTGCAGACAGGTGGCAGAGGAGGGGGGTTGATTCATGCTGGCTGGGAGGTGAGGGGATCTGCAGGCTTTCCTCAGATGATGGATAGCTCAGAGTGCCAACAGCCTGGCTCGCGTGCGCCTCATCTCCTGCAGTTTGGTACTCCTCTTAAAACGAACGCCGCATGTGCGCTCACCCTCCACACCCCCCCTACTCGCAGCCTATATGTTGAGGAGGTGGATCTGGGCGAGGAGACGACAAGGACGGTGGTGTCTGGCTTGGTGAAGCACATCCCAGAGGCAGGCAAGTTTTCTGGGGCGTGGGCGTGGGAGTGGTGATGAGTTTGAGCTTCAGCATCTGCGGCCCTGCAGAGGGTTCGAGAGAGTCAGCATCAGGATTGGAGCCGAATCGCCGCCGGCGTCCCTCGCCCCGCCCCGAAGCCCATGCCCCCACTTGCCGCGCTCGAGCCCCTCTTCCTCCTCCTGTCAAACACCGCAGAGATGCAGGAGAGGCTGGCCGTGTTTGTTTGCAATCTCAAGCCCGCCAACATGCGCGGCCAGCGGAGCGAGGGCATGGTCCTCGCCGCCAATGCGCCCGACGACGCCAAGGTGGAGCTGGTGACCCCCCCGCCGGGGTCCAAGCCTGGGGACCGGGTGGGCGTGGATGGCTTCCCGGGCGAGCCGGACGCGCGGCTGAACCCCAAGCACAACATCTTCGAGGCGGTGTCAGCCGAGCTGGACATCTCCGAGGACGGGGTGGTGACCTACCGGGGGAGGCCCCTGGGCACCCAGAAAGGCGCGTGCACTGTGCCCACCGTGCGCTCCGGCATCATCCGCTGAAGAGGCAGGGGAGGCTGCGGCACGCATTTGACAAGACATCGACGGGCTTGGTGAGGAGGTATCGCTGCCTCTGCACATCCCCATGCCGTCCATGCGCCATGCTGATCTCGCGACAGGTCAATGAGGCAGCAGCTGAACATGAGATCACATCCTGTTCACACAGAATAACAACAAGAAGGAACCATTGATATTCAGCTTGACAAATCAGGCAGGCAACCACGCGTGCTGTTTCCGTGAATCCAGCAGCGGCTCCAGTGCTAGACAGGACGATTCTCTCAGCCGCCATGCTTCGTTCATACCATCCAGAATGCATCCGATCCCATTAGACCTCGGCAATTAAGCTGGATTGGGCGGGAATAGTACTGCGGTGGGTGACCACGTGGGAAGTCCCCGTGACGAAGTGTTTTGTTTTTGCTGGACCCCTGATCAGCGCTGTGGAGTGGCTTTGCCGTTGCGCAGCCGGGCCTCCACACGGTTTGGGCAGGACACTGTGCAACAAAGTGGCCGGCACCCTTGCCCCTGATGCTTTTGCTGCCCCTCAATGTGCTTGCAGATACAAAGCAAAGGGGGTTGGGCCACGTGGGCATGGCCACAGCCGCTGTCAAGCGCTGACTGCCAGCCTAATCCTCCCAGGTGTGCCAGCTGCTGTTGACAAAGCGCTTGCCGTTCTCCAGCGCGTCGAGCTTGGCCTGCAGGGTGGGGTCAGGGGGGGGTGCACTGAAAGGGCAATCATGCTGGCTGACGCGCAAGACCCCACAGCCTCATCCACAGACTGCACTGGGAACCGACCATGCACACGTGTCCCCTCGGGATCACCCTCCTCTCTCCAGCCGCCCCGCCGCGTACCTTCTGGGCGTAGGTGAGCGAGAAGGAGAAGATGTCGGCGTTCTCACGCACGTGCCCGGCGCTGCCGGCCTTGGGGATGACGCCCACACCACGCTGCACATTCCAGCGCAGCAGCACCTGGGAGGAGAGAGGGGTTGAGGCAGGAGTCGCATGAGCTGGCCCGCTTCGGTGAGCGGCATTGCATGCGTAGGGCACAGCACCCACATCGCACGATGCTGGCACCGCTGGCCACTCACCTGGGCGGGCACGACGTCCAGCTCCTTGGCCAGCTCCTCCACCACGGGGTGACCCAGCAGGTCGGTCTTGCTGTGGCCCAGCGGGGAGTAGGCAATGGCCCGCAAGCCCTGCCGAGGTGACGGCGGTGTGGGTGCCGGTGTGTGCTCGCACATGTGGAGGGCGGCACGGCTGTGCACACAAGGCATCGAGCACTCTCACAGTGGGCTGCACCTGGGCATGCAGCTGGCCTTGATGCACCGCAGGAGATGCCCCATGCCAGCCCACATCTCAAAGAGGTAGACAGGAACATGCCAGCAAGGCAGGGGGCGGACCATCCCTCGCTAGGCACCTTGCGAAGCATCCCGCCAACGAGCTTGCGCTGCGGCAGGAAGGGGTGCAGCTCCACCTGGTTGACCACGGGCTTGATGCAAGCCCAGCTCAGCAGGTCCTCAATCTGACCCAGGCTGAAGTTGGACACCCCCAGGTTCCTGACGTGGCCCTCATCTACCAACCGCTCCAGCGCACCCCTACAAGTTTGAGGAGCGGGCGTGTTTGCATTGCCATCTGCACTTCCATTGGGCATGTGGCTGGTGGGTGCCCGCTGGTGACGCTTCTATTCTCACTGGCCCTGGAACGGAGACCATTCCTTGATTCGGCGTCGCCGCGCAGACTCAACCCACCAGGTGTCCTGCAGGGTCACGGACGGATCCTCCTCCTCTGTTCCTGCTTTCCAGGCATGCGGCCAGTGTATCAGGACCAGGTCCGCATACTGGCACCCCAGCTCGGCGATCGACTGCAGCACAGACCTCCTGCGAGCAGGACGCCAGGCTTTCGGCCGGTTTGGCTGGCGAGGGCAGGCGAGAGGTGCCGTTTACGTGGGCATGGCCAGCGTGACACAGTGACAAGGGCATCTGACAGTGAGGTGGTCCACGCACCTCGCATCCTCTGGGGCATGCTCGTCGTTCCAGATCTTGGTGGTGATGAACAGCTCGGCGCGGCGTCCCTGGCGGTTTTGGTGAAAGGGAATAAGGTCAGGGGGCGAGAGGGTGCAGGTCCTCCCCTCGTTTGTCGCCAGACTTGGGGCAACAGACCCCAGACAGGACCCGTGATGACCGTCCATCCTGCTCCTCTCTCTTGCAACAGCCCCAACCCCACCTCGTTGATGAAATCTGCGAGGCCCTTCCCCACCAGCTCCTGGTTCTTATACACAGATGCGCAGTCGACGTGGCGATAGCCAGCTGCAGAGAAGGGAGACGTCGCCGAGTCGTGATCTACTGGCGTTGAGTGTCGCCACAGCATTCAGGCAGGAGCATCTCCCCGCCAGCCTCTCTCTCACATACACACACACACACACACAGGAGGCCACCACGCAGAATACCGCTATTGCCGGACCTACCATCAAGCGCGGTGTGCAGCGCCTCCACACTGTCCAGCTTGTATGTCCCGATGCCGAGCAGGGGCATGACGGAGCCTCCGGGAAGCGTCACAGTGCTCTGTTGCGAGTCGGCGGGGGTTGGCGCCATGTCCTCGGCGTGGGTGGGCGGTGCCGACGAGCCCTGCGGCGCAGGGCCGTCCCAGACTCCCCTGGCCGTTGACTGTAGAATGTTAGCACCGGGGGTGGGGGGGGGGAAGGAGGAGGGGTAGGGTAGTATGGGAAATGAAATTTTGGGTGAGCATGAAGGGGAGATGAGGGATCGGCCACCATGCTCAGACATGAACATGTTCCCAGGGTGGTAGGGCCTGCAATGAGCGCATTCTGCAGGTGGCCCAAGCATGCCGGCAGACACAGCATTTTTCCACAACTCCTCACCCTGCCCCCGGGCGCAGCCGAGGCCTGCACTGATCCTGCGCAAAGAAGAGTGGCTTGCGTTGGAGTCATCTTGATGCGCCTGGTGAACAAGCCCTTCTGTGACATGCACACTGCAGCATGAATCAACATACGCAAATCTGCAAGCTTGCGCGCCGTCCTCACTGTGAGCAGCCTGGGCATAGCTCTGCGACTCCAGGTTCTTTGGGTGGTGCAGCAGGTACGAGAAGGCCTGCCCCGCCCACTCCACCGGTCGGCTGCCTGTGGCGCGGCGGGTGAGGGTGGGAGACTTGCATATGGCGAGCAAGGCAACGAAGACGATACCGGATCTCCGGGTGTGCTCCACAGGTTCAACATACCATCATTTGCCATTTGGGTTCTCCTCAATATTCTCCTGGCGACCCGCGGGGAGGCAAGCGTGCCTTGGACGAGTGCGTGCGACGTGAAAGCCAGCGCAGCAGGATGCGTAGCCTCCCTAAACTTGCGTGACTATCCCAAAGCGCCAATGCAACGTCGATGCCTTCATAAACGTTTTCTTCGATCTGTTCTCGTGCTGAGTGTATCGAGTGGTGGGACTGCTGAGCACGTTTTGTGGCGTGAAGCGTTTGCAAATCGTCACCTGGGGCGCCACTCATCATCTGTAGACTTTGCAACACCCCTTATGGGGTGCAAGCAGATTCCGGCAGCCTTGTACCAAGCCAGAGTACAAGATTTACAACCTGACATCCTCGCGATGCATGCCTCCTCTCTAATGAGATGTGAGACATGAGTGACATGCGCACCAGTGGCATTACATTGCAGGCACAGTGGCACTACCACGAAAGAAGGCCTTCACTCATCAAATGAGTGCCAGGAAGTGCTGACGAAGCGTTTGCCATTCTCCAGGGCGTCCAGCTTCTCCTGCAAGGGGAATAGCGCGTGAATAGTGACACACATGCAACACTGCAAGTGGAGTGTACGATGCTACACACAGAGATCGTTTGCATACCTGCTGGGCTGGAGAAAGAGAGAAGGAGAAGAGGTCCAGGTTCTCCTTGACATGATTGAGGCTGCCGGCCTTGGGGATCACGGCCACGCCACGATCCACATTCCAGCGCAGTAGGACCTGCGGCATTGCAAGGGTGTCATGGCCGTCAGGGCAGGCTGAGATATCCAGGATCCCACCGGTGCCGGCTTCAACCAGGAGCCCTCCCTCGGACTTTGCAAGGCTGCCCAAGGCAGATTCTAAGGCACACAACCACTACATCCCAAGCGAATCCCTTGTACAGGCAAAATCAACCCCTTCGCTGAGACCCACCTGGGCTGAGCTCACTCCAACATCCTTTGCCACCTCGATCACCACAGGGTTGGCCAGGAGGTCCGTTTTGCTGTGCCCAAGTGGGGAGTAGGCAACCGTGTGCACTCCCTGCATGATAGAGGCAGTAGACTCAGACTGAAGGAATGGAATTCGTGTGCCCTGGCTGGAGGCAGCACTGAGCGCAAGGTCTGGGTCTTGTGTGGGAGGCAGGACATCGGTTCTAGTGCAACTACTCAAATGCAGACAGGCATCTCACCTTGGCCAGGCTGCCTTCCACGAGTTTACGCTGCGGCAGGAAGGGGTGGAGCTCCACCTGGTTAACTACGGGCTTGATGCGAGCCCAGCTCAGCAGGTCCGCGATCTGGCCCAGGCTGAAGTTGGACACCCCCAGGCTCTTGACCAGGCCTTCATCCACCAGCCGTTCCAGCGCACCCCTGCACGTATTGTGATGTGAGGGAGATGGAAAGAGGGGAGGGGGCTGGCATGCATTCTCATAGCTCGGGACTCTTACCCAGTGCACTCAGGGCAAGCAAGGGGCAGACAAGGTGGTCCCACAGAGGGAAGGACAAGCACTCAACCTACCAGGTGTCTTGGAGGGTCACGGAGGGGTCGTCCTCCTGCGTTCCCGCTTTCCAGGCATGGGGCCAGTGGACCAGGACCAGGTCAGCATACTCACTGCCCAGCTCTGAGATAGACTGCAGCACAGACCGCCTGCAGGACGCATGCATCAAGTGCTGGGCATCAACAGCTTGAACATCGATGTATGGTGCTGCTTCGCAAGAAGATGTGTGTCGCAAAGGCACCAGCTGTGCCTTGGGTGGACTGGCCATGCTCGCAGCTACATGTGGTACCTTGCTTCTGCAGGTGAATGCTCATCATTCCATATCTTGGTGGTGATGAAGAGCTCGGCGCGACGCCCCTGCATGGTGAGAATGGGGGGCTTCATAGCGTGTCGGATTCACCCAGACATATCAAGGCCCTGCCTGGACCCTCCCCCCCCCCCCTCCCCCCTCCCCCCCCACTACAACTCAAATTCCGCTCCCCAAAAGGGGCAACCTACATGTCACTGACCTTGCTGATGAATGCTGCCAGCCCACGGCCCACCAGGTCCTGGTTCTTGTAGATGGATGCTGCATCGATGTGGCGGTAGCCAACTGCGAGAGAATAGTGTGTTGATCTATCATAGCCAAGGAGCCGACCTGGGTTTCACATCTCTCAGGCAGACCCTGCACCCTCCCATCCCACCTTCCAGAGCGGTCACCAGGGCCTCCTCATTCTTCAGGTCATACGTTCCAATTCCAACGAGTGGTAACAAGGCACCGTTGGAAAGCTCGACAGTGTCTGATGCGCTCCCGCCTGCAATGTGCGAGCAGTCGATGTCAGGATCACCTCGTGTGCACACCTCTCATGCAAACCTGCTTGGGCAGGCACACGGGCGTATGCCCATGCTGGCGTGCGGCCATGAGCAGGAGTAATCCGCACCGGTAGTCATGATGTCGAAAGTGCTTCAGAGATCGGATGCGTTCGAGTTGTTTGTAGACTTAGGTTTGCTTTCGGCTTCGTCCACTGAGGTGCCCTGATTACTTCTAACAGAGACCGCGCGCTCCCAAAAAATGTATGTGCTGATTCAGCTGAGTAACATAGGATTGTGTTACCACTTTCTCAGGGGCTTGCAGCGTATTTGCCCGCGGCGGGCTCGATGCCGAAGACATGCTGGAACAGTAATTCGTTAGGTGATCATCTCCGTGATCAAGTACACTCTGAATCCGTGACAGCAGCCTCGACCTGTCGATGAAGATGTTGATCTTTTGCGATCAAGCCTAGCAGCGTCCCTCCTTGGGAAATATGGCGCTTGCACCGATGTGGCATGTGCAATACAGCTATGTTGGTTTCGCACAACATTCTCATGAAATCCCCACCAATAACAGAGAACTGGACAGTAACCCAAGGCCCTGAGGGGTTCAATGCTTACACAATGGAATGAGCGAGCCCTGCCCCTCTGCTTCTTAAAGGCGATATCGTTGTGTAGTGCTAATCCGATGCCGTCATGTGGGACGTCCATGGCGGGCTTCAGTTTGTCCGAGGGAACATGTACTGGAAATGGACAAGGAAGGGGAACTCCTATTCTGACGAGAATTACTTGGTCGAGCTCAAGCCACTCTGAGCCAGTCGCTGTAAGGCCCGGCCAGACCCATTGGCTCCAGGTCTGCACAAGAAGCCCGGGCAGCTGCGTGTGTGGTCCACCCACTAATAGACTACAACTTATGACATCTGAAAGTCTTTAGGCCATGCCATGTGTGAACTTGTACCTGATCTGCTTGACCCGTTCACAGCTGAACACAAAGTGCAGAAACTGTACCGCGGCATTTGTATTGCGCAATGCCACGCTCCCTCGACCGGGACTTCCAAGCATTGGGCGGGAACTCTATTTCAGCCCCTGCTGATCATGACACGGCGAAGGGTACTAGAATTTTTATTCTCCACATCATTACAAGTCCTCGTTGCAATGCCCAAGCCGTAATCCCGCCTCTCGTCACTCGATCGGCATTGCAGGTTCCCCCGGTTGCAGAACGGTCATGGGGGTCTGGAAGCGGCTCGTGGGCAAGATCAAGACCAAGGACAAGGACCCATCGCCCTTCAATGGTGTCCTCAAGACTCAAGAGGGTATGGCGGTGGGGCCCAGGCGGCTGTCGCGAGATCAAGACCGACGTGGGTGCCGTTGGACTGACCCCGCGCCACCCCACTGGACACCCACAGGGCCGGGCTCCCTCCCCCAAAATGGGACGAAGAAGGACTTACCCACTGACATTCCCTCCCTCCTCAAGGCCCTGGACTCCTCCGATCCCAAGACGTCCGGTCGCGCCGCGGAGGCGCTGTACAATGCAGCCCTGGAGGACAGCGCGGTGTGCCGTGCCGTGTGCGCCAAGCACCTGCCCCGGGCGAGCGCGCTGCTGTCCTCCTCCAGCGCCGCCACGCAGATGTTCTCCGCCTACCTCATCTCAGCACTGGCTGGCACCTCCCCCAGCATCAACCGGGAGCTCTCACGCCTGAAGGTGTGGGTTGTGTTGCCGTGGGGGAGTTGGGACCGCGGGAAGGCCAGGCCTGCCCATCTCCAGTGCATTGGCCCGGGTGCCATGAAGCCCGGCCTACTGTTGCAACGATGACGGTGGGGAGGGCGCGCGTCGGGTCCGACATGCATCCACCATACCGGGGTGGGAAGGAGCCGGCATGCCTTGCCGGAGCCCCTGGCCCCACCAACCTGTGACTCGCGGTCTGCCAGACTTGCTAGGCCACGCATCTTAAACATCTCCCAGCCGTGCACACTCACCCCATTCCAACCCTTCCTCCTCCTCCAAAACCCCCGTGGCAGGTGGCGTCCACGCTGGCGTCGGGCCTGGCCGCCACCCACTCCACGGGCGTGTCGCGCGGCATGCTGCGCGCGCTGAGCAAGCTGGCGGGCCCCAGCGCCTCGCCCGAGGACACCGTGGACCAGCTGGTTGCGGCGCGGGGCCTGGCCACGCTGGCGAGCCGCCTGGGCTCGCAGGACCTCGGCATCGTACGGCGCTGCCTGGACCTGCTCACCGTGGCTGCGCGCCTGCGCCCCGACCCCGCGGTGGACGCCCTGCTGGGCCAGAAGGCGGCGGTGGGCGCCCTGCTGGGCCTGCTGCGCTCCACTGTCATGGATGTGCAGGCCGGGGCAATGACGACCATGCAGGTCTTGGCAGAGTGAGCCTGGAAGGGGGGATCCCTGTGGAATCGGGGCCGACCACCCATTTGTTTCTTTGGCTGGGGAATCAAGGCCTGCGTCGAGAGGGTGGGCGCTGTGCTGACAACGCCAGGGGCTGCGTTGCACAGAGACACCATCATTCGATGCCTGTGTGGATCACCAATCCTGGGTCACAGCAGGCCCTCTCCCCCGTGGGGCCTGGCAGTTGCCCTGTCAAGTGCACTCCTTTACCGACCGGCTCCAGCCTCCTTCCAGGAGCAAAGCCTGCTCCAGTCCTGCCCCCCCCCCCCTACCAGCACCCCCATTCCCGCCCTCCCACCTCCCCTTCCTTCCAAAGGGTCGAGGAGGCGCGGCACGCGCTGCTGGACAAGGGTGCGCTGGAAGGCCTGGCTTTTGTCACCGACACCAGCAGCGTTGCGGTGAGGCGGGGGGGGAGGGAGGGGGGCCCGTGGGGCCGTGACAGGGTGTCAGGGGCTGCCGATGCCTCAAGCCCCATGGGCAAACCACCACCACCACCAGCCTCGCCTCCTTTGTGGTCCACAACCCCCTCCTCCCTGTTCCGCGAGATGAGACGCCTCCCCAACCCAACCCACCCTGGACCGCGCAGGAGCTGCGCATGCAGGCCAACGCCACGCTGCAGGCCCTCCAGCCCCAGGCCCTAGTCATGTCGGCGGGGGGGACCACGGCGGCGCAGAGCGGGCTCTACGACAGCGCCCTGCTTCCAGGCATGCACCGCGCGGCAGAGATCCGGCAGGCCCCCGGGGCGGCAGCGGGGAGCGAGGGGCCCAGTCCTGCGTCCGGCGCGGGCGCGGGGGCGGAGTCTGCTGCAGGCCCGGGGTCGCCGGCGCTGCCTCTCTCCCCGGGGCCGCTGCAGCTGCCGGCGCCGCCCTCCCCCCGGCCCTCCTCCGCCCCCTCACAAAGTACAGACACCACCCCGGCCCCGCCCGACCCCGCGCGCCGCTGCGCCAGCGAGCTGCGGGGCCCCAGCCAGCGCCGCCGGCTGCTGGGCGCCGAGGACGCCGCCGAGCTGGCCGCACGCGACCCTGGCGCGCTCCTGCGCGCCGGGGCGCTGGCGCCGCTGCTTGCGGTGCTGCTGGAGGCGGCCAACGAGGGCCCCCTGCTGGAGGCCGGCGCGCTGCAGCACGCCGTGCTCACCGCGGCGCTGCGCGCGCTGTGCACGCTGTGCCGCGGCGACGCGGCGGTGGCCGCGCGCGTCGCCGCGTCGCCGGGCGCGCCGGGCGCAGCGGGCGCACTGGTCGAGCGCGGCGCGCGCGAGCACGCCGAGCTCGCGCAGCAGCTCCTGCGGTCTCTGCCCAGCGCCGTCGTCCGCGGGGAGGGCCGGCTGGCCTTTGGCGCGGGCGGGCCCCCCTCGCCGGGCCGGGTGGTGTGGCCTGCGGACGAGGGGAGCGGTGCGGCGGAGGGCGGGGACGAGGCGCCCACCCCGGACCCCTTCCGCGCCCACCGGGGCAAGCACGCCGCCGCCGCGCTGGGCGTCCCGGACTCCACGCCCAGCCCGTCTGGCGTGGTCCCGGCCGACCAGGGCTCGGCCTCCGCGGCCACCTCCGCGGACAGCGCCGCGGCCGACAGGGGCCCCTGGGAGGCGCACGCGCCGCGCTTTCTCGCGACCCGACACCCCATCTTTGCCATCGCGGAGGGGGTGCACAGCGAGAGCGACCGCTCGGCGATGGAGGGGCCGGACGCGCTGGGGCCCGACACCTCCAGGGGTAGGGGTGTGTGTTGGGGGGAGGGGGGGGCTTGTCATTGTGTTGGGGATACACACTGTGTGAGGCCAAGAATGCCTGCTGCACGGGGCTGCATGGCGGTCTGTGACGCCACTGAAGCCACAAAAGCAGTGACACAGATTGTGAGGGGGGTGGCCGCTTGAACAGGGGCCGCGGGTGTGGTTTCTATCAGGATGCGCTGTGGCCGGTCACCCTGGATTTTATTCTTCACAAGCCCTCCACGCCCACCAAACACGCACAGATGTCGAGGACTTCTTTGCAGACCACCAGGACTGGCTGGTGGCTGATGCAGACATCGAGCTGTGCCGGGTGAGGGATGAGAAGGGGCTTCAGTGCGGGACCTCGGTCCATGCACCTGGCATGCAAGCGGCCCGCTTCGTTCTGTCGGCCATGGTCGATGCCTCGTCACCCTGCAAAAATGCTGCTCCAACCCTGATCCACAGGATGGCCGTGGCAGGCCCATTAAACTGGGCGAGGGCGGGTTTGGCATAGTGTACAAGGTGATCACGTGCGATGCGCTTGTTGTCAGCGGGTCGCAGCGCAGCATGCCCCGTCTTGTGTCCGTTCAGTCCAGGTTGTGAGGGATCCCGACGGATGGCATGTCATGCGTGTTTGGGCTGGGGGAGTCCATCAAGTTGCGCATCCCTTCCAGCACCCCACCCTCAATGCACCGCAGGGTCTGGCGCACGGCGTCGACGAGGTGGCGGTGAAGCGTATTCGCGCTGAGCAGCCCTCCCCTGCCCAGATCAAGGTCTTCAGGGACGAGATCAACTGCCTGCGCCGCCTCAACCATCGCAATATTGTGCAGGTGGGCTGGGAGTCGTGCATTGGTGGTTACATGCTAAGCTCTCGATGGAAAGGGGCTTTCTCTGCCTCCCCAGATCGGTGTGTTTGCTGACGGGAGTCGCGAGCCGTGGCGCTGACTGTGCCTCACACCTGCTGTCCCCGCCTCAGTTCTATGGTGCAAGCATGCTCCCGGAAGCTTTCTTCCTTGTGACAGAAATGATGACAGGTGGGCATGATTGGTGGGAATGGAGGGATCTCCCAGTACTCCATTTTTCAGCAGAGAAGGGAAAACCCTTGCGGGCTGGGTCTTTCTGTGCAATCCTTGCCCTCCCTGGGGCCATAGGCACAGTTTCCGTACCCGAAGCCTCGCCCCATTCCAATCACCAGGCGGGGACTTGTATGGCGCCCTGCGCCGCCACCCCGAGCTCTTGGCCTGGGACAAACTGGGCCGGAAGGTCGCGCTGGACGTCGCGCTGGGCCTCCACTACCTCCAGTCCCGCCGGCCTCCCGTCCTGCACCGGGACCTGAAGAGCCCCAACATCTTACTCACAGGTTGGGCTGGGAGTTTGTTGACAAGCATCTTCGAGTATTTTGCCTTTGAACCTTGACATTGCAGCCAGGGGACGGCAATGTCACCGCCATGCCCCACTGACCTCACCACCTCCACCCCCACACCCGGCAGGCGAGGGTGTGGCCAAGATCGCAGATGTGGGCATGTCTCGGCGAATGGTCAGCGACCTTGCCACGGCGCAGCCCATCATGACCCCACTCTGGTCGGCGCCAGAGGTCTTGCGGCGGGAACGCGTCAGCGCAAAGGTGCACTGCGCCTGGGGGCCTCCTGTTCTGTTGGGTGGAGTCTAAAGCAATGCTTGGCATGCCGCCAGGCTTCCACCACATGGCATCAAGGAGGTTGTGGTCAACCAGCTAACTCCCCTGCCTACATGCCCAGCGATAGTTACCCCTCACCCATCAATCACTCCATCACAGGCGGACATGTGGAGCTACGGCGTGCTGGTCTGGGAGATCGTGACGGGGCAGGACATCACTAAGTTCCAGCCTCTGGCCCTGACCCGGGTGTCGGAGCAGTCGGTGCGTGGGGAGGGAGACAGAGCTTTGCTGACCTGGGGGATCACAGGTGCCACATGTGTTCTTCCTTGTTCGGCACGACATGCCGGCGGCTCCTGGGCTGTGCTGCTCTATCCTCACATCCCGTCGTCGGCAGCCTGCGCCGTGGCGCTTTCCGTGCATTACAAGTGACACCCACGTACCCCCTACGATGCTGTGCACAGGGCAAGCGGGCGGTCCAGCCGTCGGAGGCGGGGAACGAGGCCGGGACCGAGCTCACACTGGGCGAGGATGCGCCGGCCATGGCGCGCCACATCTTCCAGCAGTGCACCCACCTGTCCCCCGCCCTGCGGCCCAGCGCCACCCAGGTCATCGAGTGGCTGCGCAGCGATATGTGAGGTGGGAGGTGGGCGTGCCTGAGAACGTGTCCCGAGGTGGGCATGCCAGCTCAGCCCCACCCGCCAGGTATTTCTGCGCTTCCAAGATCGACTGCAAATTGTGTACGCCATAGGTTGAGTTTCTGTCATGCGCCAGTGGGCAGCTCTAGGGTGGAGGTTATGCGTGTGTGGCGGAAAGGCACTACTTCCAGGCAACAGCGTCACCTTCCGGCAGCTCCGGGATAAGGGTGCACATGCGGAGTTCAAATTTTAGAATCCGCCGGTCGGGCCCGCGGCCGCGCCAGCGAAGGCATATGGGACGATGGAAACCCCAGCGAAATCTGTCGAGCACAGTGCCGGACGTCCCGCAGCACAACCCGCCCCATGGCTGGTGTCGTACGTCATGTGCACTCCCCGTGGGTGCTCCCGCATGGTACTTCACCCACCAGGGGGACGTTCCTCTCGGGGACGTGCAGGATGTAAAAGCGATCAAATTACTTTATTAAGATCGGAATTGGGTCTGCACAGCGACGTAGAGCATCTAGAGGGTTGATGTTCCGACGATATTGTGCCGGGGTGCCTAGTTTCAGACTTCCGGTGTACGAAAGGAAAGAACCGCCCGCCGAGGATCCCGCACATGGGGTTGCAAAATGGGCGGAAAGAAGGTGAGCTGGGCCAGCACCGATAAGGCATCCACGATAAGCGATATAATGTTCATCCAGAGCCTTACAAGGGTTGTGTAGCACCCCGGTGAGGGCTTCCAGTTTCCGGTCCTTTCTCCGTCGTCGCCATGAACCTGTGGAGACGGATTCGGAGCGGCAGGACCAAGCCAACCAAGGTCATCGCCCCACTCGGCCCTCGTGGTGAGCCGCCCATGGGGCATCTGATGTCGTCATCCTAAAAGGTCACGACACCGTCTGACCCTGCCGGCCCCCCACCCCATGCACAGGCCTCGTGGGCCTGCCGGCCCCCCCGCCCCTCTCCCTGCCACGGGAGGAGATGCTGCGCCGTCTGGACAGCCGGGACACCATCGTGGCCACCCAGGCCGCGGAGTCCCTCTACCCCCTGGCCTCGGAGGACAGGGCGCTGGCTGCCAGCATTGCCATGGAGCACCTGTCCTCCCTCCTGGCCCTGCTCGCCAGCCACCGCCAGCACACACAGCTCCACGCCGCGTACCTCCTTTCCTCCCTCCCCGGCGCCTCCCCACCCGTCGACGGCCTCCTGGCCGGTAGCCAGGTGGCCTCCGCGCTCACCGCCGCCCTGTCCGACACGGTCAGCCCGGGGGTGGCCCGTGGCGTGCTTCGCGCACTGAGCAAGATGCTGGCCCCTCCCGCGACCGAGACCGTGGCGGCGGTGAACGCCCTGGTCGCCTGCGACGGCCTGAGGGTCGTCGCCCAGGGCCTGCGGGCGGGGGACCCGGGCATCGCGCGGCGCAGCTTGCACATCATCCGCGCCGCCAGCGCGCTGCAGCCGGGCGCCACCTGGCGGGAGCTGAGCGTGGCGGGGGTGGCGGCGCCGGCCCTCCTCGCCCTCCTCCGCGTTGGGCACCTCGACACCCAGGCCGAGGTGCTCTGGATCCTGCAGTGCCTCAGCCCGTGAGTCATGAGTGGGGGCCCGGGTGTCTGCTGAGGCTGGGCATTTGGGGTAGAAATGGTGTGCTGGAATGCATCATGATGTTTGGTGTCCATATGCTCTTGCGGTTGCTGAAGTCAGTGCCTGAGCTGGCAGTCATGTTCCTAGAGAGCAGTATCCTGGGGCGACAGTCGCTGTCACCGCTCTTAAGTTTGCCTCCTTTGGCCTTCTCAATCTCATGACAGTCCGACTCCCTCGCTCCCCCTTCCCTCCTCATCCCTCCCCCCCCCGAAAAAAAAAGTACACACCCCGTGCAGGTCGCAGGAGGCAGCCGCCGCGCTGGTGGAGGGGGGGGTGGAGGAGGCGCTGACCCTCCTCGCCGCCACCAGCCCCGCCCCGGAGCTGCGCATGCAGGCCAGTGTCACACTGGGCCTGCTGCAGAATGCCTCGCGCGTGCCCGACGGCTCGGCCGACACCTCCCGCGCCATCGTGGCGTTCCAGGCCCCCGACCCGGGGTCGTGGGAGTCGACCCAGACCCGGGGGCCGACACGGGCGAGCGAAGTGGTGGAGACCCCTGCCAAAGTCACTGAGGATGTCCGAGCTGCTGGTTTTACCGATGCACCATACGCCGCCCAGCTAGCCAAATCCACGAGTAATGCGCGTATTTTCCAGGCACCTCCCCCCGCCAAGGGCCCCGTCACCCCCCTCCCGGTTGAGCCGGCGCCCGGCAGGGACGTGGCGCGTGCGGTCGCCGGCCTGCGCAGTCCCAGCGACCGGAGCCGAATGCGGGCCGCCGACGCGGCGTGCACCCTGGCGCTGACTCAGCCAGAGGCACTGCTGCGGGGGGGGGCGCTGGGCCCGCTGGTAGATCTGGCGCTAGAGCTGGCCGGCGGCGCGGGCGCGGCGCAGCACCCGCTGCTCTCCGCCGTGCTGTGCGCGCTGTGCACGCTGTGCAAAACGCAGCGCCGTGCGGCCGAGGCGGTGCTCGCGTTACCGGGTGCCCTGGAGTGCCTGGAGGGGTTGGCGCGGAGCGGGGCCAGCCGCCACGCCAAGCTGGCGGCGGCCACTCTGCATGCGCTGGCCGAGGGGCGGGCGGGGGCTGCCGGTGAAGGGAGGGAGAGGCCGTCTGCGGCCGCCGCGGTCTCCCCCTTTGAGCAGGCGCGGCAGGCCTCCGATGCCTCCACCCTATCTGGTGCTGCTGACGGCCATGGGACCCCTGGTGGGCCGGGGGCCCAGGCGAGGGGCCTGGAGAGTCATGGAGTCGTGCCGCGAAGCGAGACACGCATGGGGCCGGGTGGCGCTGAAGGCGACGCGGTGACCGACGATACTGCCTGGCCCCTCTTTTGGAGGGAGGGCTCGGGCTGCAGACCTGATGCCATGCAGGCCGCCCTGATGACGAGGGGGATGGTGGACGAGGACATCATCCCCGACCTGCCAGGGGATGGGTCGACCAGTTCCAACCCTTCTCAAGGTGCGTGATCGTGTGGTTGGGATGGCGGAGCCGGTTGCATGTTCTGCACCTTTGACCAACTATGTTGGGTAGTGAGCCAGCGCTCCCAGTCAACCCCCTCCAGGCAAACAGCCTGCCTCGGCCGGCGAGGACGACTGGATGCTGGACGACTCTGATGTGGTCCTGTGCAAGGTGACTGGGCCTTTTGTCAGAGCAAAGTGTCAGCAGAGCCTCCCCATCGGGGAGCCCCATCCTTAGCACCCCTCTTCTCCTCCAACAGGACAAATGGGGTCGACCCTTCAAGCTTGGTGAGGGTGGCTTTGGGATTGTCTACAAGGTGAGGTCCGAGGATGGGTGTTGGGCATTGATGTTGAGGGAGAGATAGGAGTGCGAAACTGAGTGTCTTGTGTAGCCGTGACTGCAGACCTTGCAGCCTGACGAGTACGTCACTCACAGGGACACGCGACGAGGCGCTTCCATACACACCAACAGGGCCGACAGCACGGGGTGGACGAAGTGGCGGTCAAGAAGATCCGCGCAGAGCGGCCGACGGCGGCCCAGCTCCGCACCTTCCACTACGAGGTCAACTGCCTTCGCCTGCTCTGCCACCGCAACATCGTGCAGGTCTGCTGGGAGTGGGCGGCTGGTCGGCGGCTGAGATAACGGTGCAAGGGGCAGAAGCAGACCCTGCATGGCTTTTGCCTTCTTGGCTACACACTGCGTGCCACAGTACCTTCTCCCCATATCCACGCAGTTTTATGGGGCGAGTCTGCACCCAGAGCACCTGTTTTTCGTCACCGAGCTCATGGCGGGTGGGTTTGCCAGGGTGTAAGGGGGAGCGCAAGGTAGCTGGCACGGCGGCAAGCTCGACACCCTGTGCACAATCTATCACCTACCCCTTATGCATGCACAATTCCTCCCCAATGAGCAGGTGGGGACCTGTACACTGCCTTACGGCGACACCCGGAGCTTCTGGCCTGGAACAACATTGGCCGGAAGATTGCGCTGGACGTCGCTCTGGGCCTGAACTTCCTGCACACCCGCCGGCCCCCAATCCTGCACCGCGACCTGAAGAGTCCTAACATCCTGCTCACCGGTGTGTGGCCTGAGTGGCAGGAGTTTGCTCTGGATGGACCATTTGCTTGCTGAGTTAGTTCAACATGGTCTCCCTATTGCCGCCAATGCAAGGCCCATCTCAATCCAGTCCCATCCAATTCCCACTCTGCCACCCCATGATCCGCAGGGGAGGGCGTGGCTAAGATAGCCGACGTGGGCATGTCGCGACCCATGGTGAGCGACCTTGCCACCGCCCAAGTCATCATGACGCCGCTCTGGTCTGCGCCAGAGGTCCTCTGCCGGCAGAGGGCCAGTGTCAAGGCAAGCGCGCCTGGAATGCCCAGGGGGATGGGGTGGGGCTGGGTCGCATCCTGTCATCAGGCTTTGGAGCCGAGGGATGCGCTTGCACTGGACCCTGAGTTGACACAGGTGCGCTGCATTTGTTTCCGATGGTCTCTAGCTCCCCAACACCTCTCAGAGCGACATTTGGAGCTACGGCATCCTCATCTGGGAGATCGTGACGGGGCGGGACATCACACAGTACCAGCCGCTGTCCCTGACCCAGGGGTGGATGCAGCAGGTGAGGGCTGGGGGCCTGCAGGGCAAGACTGGGATTCACTGCCAAGAGTCTTCTGTACTCGCCATCCCTGGACACATGCTGGACGGCATGATGGCACTCAATTCTCAGGCCTCTTTGTTCTCAACAAGACACACCCTGGACCACAGGGCCTGCAGGACACGGACACGAGCGCGAGGAGCATCATGCAGATGGATGAGGGGGCTCCAGCCATGGCACGCCACATCTTCCAGCAGTGCACACAGCCCTCCCCCGCCCTCAGACCCGCCGCCTCCCAGATCGTGGAGTGGCTGCGTGGTGGGACCACGCTCCCACAGAGCACCGGCTCCGGCTGACGACAGCAGCAGCACGGCTGCGACCCATGCCATACTTTTCACCCAAGCTGCTTTTCATACCTTTCTCGATGCGCGTGCACCTTGCTCAAGCCTCACTGAGTGACGACGAGTTGGACAGCTGCTGGAGTGATGACCGAGCGCGGAATCTCTTTTCCTAATTGCCCATTCAAAACTCCTTCCTTTCCCCATGCATTGCCTTGGCAAAGGCCTTGCTGCCACCCCCATCGCCGGATGTCCTCATGCATTATAGGTGTGACAGGCAGGGCAGTCGACTTCACAAGGCATCGATGGTGGGTTCTTCCAGCTTGTGCGGGTTCACCATGCCGGGGATGGCGGCCATCTTCTTCTGCTCCGCCTCCCTCTGCGAGGAGACAGGGTAATTGTGCGTGTGTTTCTTGTTGGGTGAGTTCAAGCGAGGGCTGTGCGAGATGCTCCCCCTCTATCCATCCTGATCCCTCCATACAAAGGAACACCATCCGCCTCACCGCCGCGGCGACCTCGTCCGCATACAGATCCGCGTTGTTCTGATCCGCAAACTGGTTGGCCTGCACCAGGAAGTCCCGCAGGTGCTGCTTGAAGGTTGTGAACTCCTTCAGCTCCATCATGCCCAGCACGGTGGCCTGTAGATGGTGAAGGGTGGAAAGGGGAATGAGGAGTTGGTCGCAAAAAGTACCAGGGCTGCAGCAGCGGTGTGCATCTTTGGGAAGGCCCAATCCCCCATGGCACGGGGGGACCCCCCCTGCTGTGTGACAGGTGGTTCGCCAGGCACCCGCGCTTCGTCGCTGTGCGAGCTCTCGACTGCCCAGCTTTCCAGTATGCCTCTGCAAGACCAAACCTCATGTGGGCCCCACCTGTACTTGTGTCGCCCGCAAGTTGGGGAAGGATGTGGACAGCAGGTTTGTTACGTAATGCTGCACAAACTCGGGGTTGGACGAGAAGTTCCCCGGCTGGCTGGCATCCCAGAGCGGGCCCTTGATGACCTCGGTCTGACGTTCAGGAGGTGAGTGAGGGGCGGGGTGGGTGGGGCCAGCGGATCATGAGTTGTGACAACCTGCAGTTGCCCGAGTGATCAGGCAGCGCTCCTGCTCTGGTGGGAAGCAGGCATGCCTCATGAGACAGCACACGCTCCCAAACACAGCACACCCAGATTCTCAAGAAGTCGTGCACTCCCTCGCTGCCACCCGCCGCGCCTGGACTCACCCCGACGATACAGAACAGGTGGTGCAGGATCCTGGCCTGCAGCTTGAACCCCGGCTTGTGGAACGTATCTGTGAGCAAGAGTCGAGGGGGGGGGGGGTTCCGATGAGACGGAATGTCAATGCGTTCCGCTGTCCACGTTTCCCTCGTGTGGCCTCGAGATGGGGATCACCAAAGACTGAACGGCCGCGGTGCAGGTGCCAGCTGCAAAGCAGCCGAGACCGGTCACCCACCCTCCGCCAGCCCACCTGTCATGACCGCAAAGATCTCCCGCAGCAGCTGGAGGTAGTAGGACTGGTAGAACTGCGTGGCAAAGTTGGACTGCGCAAACATGGCCAGCATTTCCTGGAGCAGGTTGAGGCCTGCGGGCGTGGCGGAGGGTGGCCGGGGGGGCAGATGGGATGGGGAGTCGGGTGACGATGGTTTTGCCCAGAGACCAGGAGCACAGGGCGCACGTGAAGTCAAGCAGCTGCCCGACGGGAGGTCACGGGAGCCCCTGGAGGCGGCACTTGTCACGTCTACATGCCGTCCGCTACCTTGTTGAGATGCGGAGGCAACCACAACCCCGCCATGCCCCCACCTGTGTCTGCGATGTTGCGTTCTGTGTGTCGGAACGCCCAGACGATGGAGTCGATGACCAGCTTGAGCTGCGCACGGTGGAGTGGTGGATGGGTGGTGTGGCGGGGGGTCGCGAGACGGGCCTGTTTGCCCGCCCACACCCGGCGGCCCTGACGGTGCAGCCTTGCCCCCCAGGCCAGACCCTTGGCCCACCCCCTGCCAACACCCAGGCACCTGCTCCGGCGTCATGGTGAAGAGGGTGGAGAAGCAGTGGTTGGTGATGGCTCGAAGCAGGCCGAAGAACTGGAGGCGGTGCTCCGGATAATCCTGTGGTGGATGGGTGGGCGGCCATGGAGGAATTGCTCCCGGCGGGTACGTGCAGAGGCGCGGGCCTTGGCTGACTGGTCGAGTCTGGCCTCACCCTCCCACAGATGGACCACCGGACTGTCGACGTGGGTCGCGTGGTGTGCTGCCCGGCCTGAGTGCCCACCTGCTCCTGCACGCCCTCCCCACCCCCCTTGCCCCCCATTCCAGCACCCCCCCCACCTCAAAGTTCTTGGTGATCATCTGCAGCGTGGGCTCAAACACGGCCTCGAAGATGCGAGGCACCTCCAGCCGCATCCCGTCCTTGAGGCGGTTGATGAGCATGGCGAAGAGGGACAGCACCTCCGCGTCCCTGGCAGGCAGGTGAAGGGGGGTGAGGTCGGGGTTGGGGAGCCGGGGCATGGGTGGGCGGCCCCGGGCACCGCCATGAGGGTCGAGGAGGCTGGAAACCACGGTGCGGGGGGCAGGGCAGGGGCGGAGGGGGGGTGCTCGGCAGGCACGGCTCAGATGCTCTGGAGCCCCTTGCCCGTCCCTCCACACTCGCACATGCCCATGCCCCCACCCCTGCACGCCCGCCCCACCACAGCCTTGCCGCCCTCGGCAACCCATGGCCCCCACTCCCACCCTGGCCCCACACTCCCCTCCCCGGGTACCCGCCAACCCACCGAACTCCCCGGCCAAGACCCACCTGGCGTCGGGCGTGTTGCGCGCGTAGTCGCCCAGCACCGGGTCCATCAGGGCGGGGACGTGCTGGCTGGCCAGGCCCGCAAGGTCCTCGGCCCGCTCCACAAAGGCCTCGATCAAGCGCAGCGTGACCTTCTTCACGCTGCGCATCAGCTTCACCGTGCTGGTCTTGGCCGCATAGGGGCCGCCCGTGCTGATGGCCACGCTGATCAGCTCCGAGTACATCCTGAGTGGGTGGGTGTGTGCGGGGAGGGGGGGGAGGAGGGTCAGGAGAGGGAGGAGCTCGGGGCTGGAGCTGGGGATACCCATGGGGCACCAGGGCACCCCCCAGGGCGAGGTACGCTCATCAGCCCTGCACCGGGCCGGACGCGCCCAGGGACCAGTACGCCTCCTCACACGGCTCCTTCCTTCCCCCATGCACACGCACTTGTACACCGCCAGCATGTCGAGGTAGATGATGTTGAGCTGGGGCGTGAACGAGGGGCCCAGCGAGGAGCACACTGCGGGCAATAATGTGTGTGTGGGGGGTGTAGGGGGGGTGTTGGGGGGGGGTGTAAACGAATGTGTGAATGTTGAATCGATGGTGACCAACTCGAGACAAGCACAGCTGCAGGTCCGCTTGCCGGGGGCCCTCAATCGCACCGTGGGTCCCATCACAGGTGCAGGGCTTCCGCACACTGCACCCAACACACTCCATCCTCCCTGCCAACACACCTTGCCCCTTGCCCTCCACCCCAAAACACACGCCTTCAAACCCCCCCCATTCCCCCCACCCACCCCACACACACCTGACACGTTGGTCTGGAGCACGGTCTGCAGGTTGCGGATCACCTCCCCCTGCTTCAGCACCTCCACGTCCTGCTTGGCCTGGGCCAGGATCTGGTGCCAGGTCACGTTGGGGGGACCCATCAGACGCACCAGGTACTCCTCCCGCCGCCCCGCATCTGCAGGGGGGGGGATTGCTTGGTGTGCATGCCATCTTGTGGCGTGGCATGTGGGGTCGACCGGATGCATGCAGTGCCCTTCTCCTCCCTTCTTCTTGGTCCGGCAGTCAGAATGCTGCACGCCCCCTTCGCAGGCACAGCACCGTACTAGGGTGGGGTCCCACCTCTGCGCCCCATTGAACACAGCTCCCCATCCTCCCCACCCACTCTCTCCCAAATCAGACCCACTC